AACCATTTTTGTTTTTTGAGTTGTTATGTGAACCTAAAAGCTAACACTGTTCTGTTAATCAATTCTTTCTATTTTCTGTCTTACTCCTCCGCACCACTTATTTTCAACTTTCAAAGCGTATAAATTGATGATGAAAACTTAAACTAAAAACATTGTAATGCTTTCATTTTGGATGCGTCAATTGTATAGTATCTCTTCTCTACTACCACTTAAACTTTAAAGTACGTTATTACCCATTATATATGTCCAAACCAAGTTCACTTTTAACGGTTTGAAAAAATTTGGGCATTGGGTAATCAATTTGGTTTTCATTCATTGGGAAATACAAAAATCTTTATTATAATTGGGTACGTTACTACCATGCATATAACCATTGTAATTTCAGATAGTCAATGGCAGATGATGAGAACCTGTGAAATAGAATGATGACATCATTTTATACTGCCAAATTTCGTCTTCCTTTCTTTATCGAAATAAACACGATTGCTACCGAAACTTCAAGCCTTTAGCTTGAAGCCGTATGTTCCACTGGGAACTTGAAGGAATCAAAAAAAAAATTACAATTATAAAAAATTATTATAATAAGGTTTATGTAGGTGGGGCGATAAGAATAACAAAGTGTAGTAATATATGTGTATATGCGTACACAATGCAATAAAAAAATAAGGTCAAATCTTATAATTATATAATGTCCAAACCAAGTTCACTTTTAACAGTGTGAAAGATTTTAAGCATGGGGTATATACTATTCATTATATGATAAAGGTTTTTGGATTTCCCAATGAATGAATGAAAAACAAAACGATATTGCTGTTTCTACTGACGTTTCGCTGTCTAATGCTGCTGCTAATAACTTTATCAAAGTAGTAATATTAAGCCAGAATTTACAAAATCCACTCAGCTGATATATAACAACTTAATCATCGTTCCTCAGTGGGGGGGGGTCATTTTTGCGTTGTCAAATTGACCAATTGGTAAAGGATAACAAAACCAGGTGTAGATGACTGTTTGATTTGATGAATGTGCAAAATTATAAAAGCAGCGTGTGTTTGTATGATGATATTGCTTATCACATTCGTGTTGATTTTGTCATTTCATGGAGTTAGGCAGGTGGGTGTTGTAACCAGGTCAAATTCTGTTTTAGTCCATCATTCCTATTCAGACAATTTGGATTCCATTTGACATGAAATGCTTCTGATATTACACGTTCTTTGTGATTTCTGAAATGATCTTTCTCGTTTATTTCACTCATAAGTTGCGTAATACTAGGGGTGAAGTGTATTACATTATCATTATAATTTGACCCTCATTGGTTTAATTCTGTTTTCAAAATATAAGTCTATGTAAATCACAGTAAAGCTTGAAGAAGATCCAGTTGAAAAGAAAACAATAACGTTCACTTATATGTTTTGTTCTAATATGAATTACGGGAATATTTAAAGACTGACAGGTAATCAAGCAAATTAGTACAATAGTTCAAGGGTAAAAATATTTGTGAAAAATGGAAAAGTTATACTACAACCCAACTGTAAAACAGTTAAGGTTGATTATCGACAGTACTCCAACTAATCATAATTTACCTTTACGAGTCCGTCCCTCCTCTATATATGCGGCTGGAGTCATCGGAATCCACTTAAAGAACCCAAACCCGTGCGCGTGTGTGTGTGCGTTTCAAAAGAAATTCGTACAGACACTTTCTGTCCCCCGGCCATCATTATATGAATGTAAAACACTGAAAACTGCTCCCTCCTGCTTCAAGCTATCTAAAAGTTGTTATTGTTCCAACTGAGCTATTACTCCACCTACTTCATCTGTAGTTGTTTACTACACAAACATTTTGGAAGCCTATTCACTTTTTAACCAGTCCTTTGATTTTATCAAAATCATGCATTGTATAAACAATTCGTTTGCTTTATGAAAGTATTTCCACCCTTTAACTATTGTATTAATTTTCTTTAGTTAATCACTCAATATGGTGATGTTGACTAACTGTTATTAACAAACTTATCACTAGTAGATTGGCAAATTGCTGTTTTTTTCCCTTTCCTTCACGTTCCCCAGTGGAACATAGGGTGACTTCAAGCTAGTGGCTTGAAGTTTCTGTAGCAGTGTTTTATTTATTTTACAGGAAGGGGTTGCTAGCCTCATGCCCAACCCTCCCCTCTTTAGCACCATTATATCTGGCTTATAGAGGTAAATGAGTGCTTCGGTGGCCGAGGATCGAACCTCGGACAATGTGCATGGTCGGCGAGCGTCCTAACCGCTATGCCACTGACTCGCCGGTAAATTTCTGTATTACATTGAAATTGCTAATGCATACGTGTACATATCAGAGTAGAGGCAAGTAGACAAGAATCCAGTTGAAAAGTAAGTGTTTTATACACTAAATCCAATGTTGCCTTCTGATAAAATGTATGACAAATGTAAGTTATAGATTTTTCTGAATATAAAAAATGCATAATAATGGTTAAAACAATTAGTCCCTTTGATAAATTTGAATAAGGCATTAAGAAGACAAATTTCGCGAAACGATATCGTCATTTCGTAGTTTCTTTACAACCGCTTTACAACTAACATGGTTAACAATAATAAAATAAAATTCATGACAAAGCTATCTTTATTAACCTACCGTTCAAGGGTGACCAGATTATGCAGTTGACAGCTCAAAGACTTCGGTCAGCCACCAAACACACATTCTGCGCCGCATCTCTCTCTTGCATTTACCGAACATTTTCTTTTTTTTTTGATTTACAGCTTGATTCCACACTGTATTTTTGGTACAAGTATGGAATTTTCAGCATGGATATCGGTAGCCCAAATTTTGCAGACCGACCATAGATATCAGGTGTGCGCCGGCGTGGGCTCGAACCCCGGACCATGTGCATGGTCGGCGAGAGTCCTAACCACTGTGCCACCGACGCATTAAAGGATGAAATTCTGTGGACTCTACTTCAAACTGCATCTACAAGTTCACCTGCAGCTGCGGTGACACACACCTATGTAGGTAGAACCAACTGAATTTTCCAATGTCGTCAAAAAGAACAGGTTCCCAAATGGTTATTGAAACGTATAGAAAATCCCAATGCAACTATTAATCTGAATAAAAATCCATCATCATCATAATCCATTGCAAAACACTTATTAATGTCTGGTCACAAAATCAATATCAATGACTGTTTCACAATTACTTCATCACATAACTGTAATTCAAGGTTATTGAAGGTGATGGAAACACTTTGGGGATTAATCACATACAGCCCAAAACTGTGTGTACAAAAAACAATAGACTTCAATCTTCGCCTACCATGGATTCACTTCATGACCTATCTAAATATGATTAGTCATTAGTATGTACTTTTGTTTTTTATATAACTGAGTAATTGTCATACCTTTTATTTTATTAATATTGTTAACCATGTTAGTTGTAAAGCGGTTGTTAAGAAACTACGAAATGACGATATCATTTCACGAAATTTGTCTTCTTAATGCCTTATTCAAATAATAATAGTTGTTGGATAATTAAGTAATTAATTACCCATTCTTTAATTCTTTGACTACGTGCTGCTTCTGCTAACTGAACTTTTTGCTTAAATTGTTCTTCAGCGATTCTTTCAAACTCGATACGCTGCTTCTCTTCATTTAATCGTTGTGTTTCAATCTCTTCATCGGTTGGACCGTAATTACGCGGTGGACCAATGAAATAGATTAATTTTCTAAAGGTTTGTTCTAATTCCTTTTAAAAAAAGTTTTAAAGATAAAATAAAATTTAAAAAAAGTGTATGCATACTGACTAACTAACTGACTGACTGATTTTTTTGATGCAGAAGTTTTCACAGATGGTTAGCAGTTCGACTTGCCAACACAAAAAGACAGAAATGTACACGAGAAAGATTAATTACATGGGGAAAACAAGAGGAGATTGCAGAGAGAATGCATCTCTGCCACAAACAACGATTTGAAACTATATCCCCAAAACTTCTAAAGTTACTGAGGGTCTTAACATGCTGAAAAGTCTAAATGACCAGGTGGTCTACACCTCTTAAAATGATTGACTATAACCAAATGTCAAAGACTTTGTCGATTGGTGCCACGTTCTCATTTGACCACTCCACAACGTTTTTCCAACTTGATCCCATGTCAAAAAACAATGTTAGACAAGGAAACTGACGATGTGGGATGTGTATCGTGATTACCAGTCACCTAACCTTGATGACCACACTAAAAACATAACTGGTGTTAAATTAAGTCATCACTAACGCCAAAGAATAGACAAATGACACTGGTTACTCCTTAAAGACCAGTCAATGTATCCGATGCAATCCTACAGAAAGTCAATCGTGAGCCTGAACAACTAACTCAGTCGTAATGTCTCTGAATGCATCTGTGGTTGATCCGAAACAAATCTCTGAAGGAACATAAACTTCTTTTTGGGGGCTGTAGAAATGCCTTTCTGACGTGTGCCAACAAGCAGGAAACTTGGGTGACCGAGGGCTTCTTGGCGATTACCTCCAACCACCTAACTATCAGGTTTGTTGCTGCTCCAGGTCAAAAGTATATCCGCTTTGTAGACTAGCTGTATGCATTTAAGACTGTGAGATTTCAATACTGACGTATAATATAACTAAATAATATCGTGTTTAAAGTAAGCCATGCATGGTCAAAGTCTCCACACTTAAAATCGGCATGTCAGCAGAGACCGTGCACTACAGTCACATATAAATCAATCACTGGTGGGAAATTGGAAATAATCTCACTACACAGAAACTGACGTCATCTAATGCAAAAGACATGACTTTCACAGCTGAATAGCCTCAGTGGATATTGGTTTTCTGATTGAAACCAAAGGAGCTAGATTCCACTCTCAATGGGAACACCATCACTCAACGGAGATGCAGCTGCCTCAAGAAGACAAGAGTCTAAAAAAGGGGTGAGTAACATTCGTCCTGAATTGCACTGATGTCCTCCATCAAATACCAATAGACTGTTTGAAATCCTTCAACCGGTATTATCATAACCAAACTACTTCTAAATATTTCTATTACCATAGACATCGAGTGCAGTTTAAGTAAATATGCATTCTCGGCAATTTCTCATCAGGTTTTACAATTACATAATAAAACACTTTTGAACATAATGTGGTTAACAGAATTAAAATTTAGGCGTGTGAATTGGAGGTTAACAATCGAGGTGATCACAACAATAAAAATAATAATATTAACAAGGATAAATTGATTCAAGTGCTTATGTAATCTGACTAGTCAATTTTCGTGAATGTGCGTACTTCTACGGGGGTACAGGGGGAAATAACAGTTGTCTCATAACGATTAATCGTGGAAAATACCTGTTTGAACATTAGATTAAAAAGAACAAGAAGTTCAGTAAAGATTTCTTTTCTGCAATTTCATTCTCAATTGTATCCATGTAAATTAATCTATATAAATGCGATTGTACAGCTGCTTTTGAGAATGAAATCGCCGAAAAGATCGTCATCTTTGCTGAACTTCTTGTTCTTTTCAACTTTACGATTAGACAACATATCAATAATAATAGTAATAGTAAATTTGGAAACTAAGACTATGATATGCAACAATAGCACAACATAATTCGATGACAAAGTTAGTTAGCAGTACAAATTAAAATTATATTTACAGATATCCTGCGACTGTTCTAGGTTGGGCTGAAAACCACAGGAAGGACAGGGATTGAACAGAGTTATTCTGAACACAAAGATTAGGATGAAAACTCATTATGGTGACTGACTCAGCTATGCTTAGCAATCGAAGGCATACGAACCCATGGAATTCAGGTGACACCTTGTAAAGAATTCTAAAGGCTGAATGCTTTTTACCAATCTTATTCTCCGTATACACTAGATGTGTCAATATGAAGCTCCTGACTGACCTAACAACTACTTTTCCTAACCACATCTGACAATACTCAAGGTGGTGACGGTGGGCTCTTCGGGTCGTTCTACCTATGTGACTGCCTCTATAAGTACATTTAAATTTATAAATGCCATACTGAAGTGATCAGGGCCAGTGTGGCATGTGCTACTTACAAGATTTATTAGCAGTATATGGACGCATATTGTAAGAAAGTGGCCAAAACTGAAAACAAAATTTTACATCACTAGAAGTGTTTATTTCTCAAGTCATGGTTTGGCTTACGTTGTGGTCAGGAAATAGTCTCAGGGTCTAACCTCAGAATATCAATAACCAACCAGGAGAGTTTATTATCCGTTGACCTAGTCGACCATAAATGTAGCTGAAATTGTGTGAATATATGGTGTGTTTTCCCCAATGAAAGTGTCAGTTACTGAGTTCCTCATCTTCTCCTGTTATACCGGTAGCTTCTCCTTCACCTGAATTGGAATTTTATTATGCAGTTGTAAGGCTTGATGGGAAATTACCGAAAATATATAGTCACTCAGGTTGTATTCTATGATTGCTTTGACGGAAGTTTTCATTGAAGTGAAAATGCTGTTTACTGTTTCCAGATTAGATCATAGATCGGCAACAGTTAGAAAACCAGTGAGAGCCATAAAGCACTGAATAGCTGTTTCTTCCTAATCTGGAATTCTTCTTCAGAATTAAGCTTCAGACACCTCACCGAAGATAAAACCCAGGACTTCTTCGTCACCGTACATGCTGTTCACCATTCAGCCACTGTAACAGAATTCAGTGACCTGCAAATCAACATTTGAAATTTATATTAATGCACACTAGTCACTGACTACAGGATAAGGTTAACTGGAGTTCTAGCCATAAGTCGTAACCATGGGACTCCACTGTACTGAGTGTGATCAGAAGTATTCGCCGATAACACTGACTAGCAGTGGCCCTTTATCTATTGCCAATTGTCTGAAGTTGGAATTCACATGTCTTTGAATTCCGTATGAGTGACCGAATAGTCAACTAGTGCGTTCAGTAGCTTGACAATCCAATATCTAGTGGTATCGTGCACGTGTAGCTGCAAAAGAGACAGGAAAGTCTGTGTAATGCTTGGTTTTCAATGGTTCGCTAACTGATGTCGGTCGGTTCGTGATGTAATTGATGCCAAAATATAGTCAAAATATCAGCATATTTCAGACTAAAGTTAGGCCTGATAGAGTAAACCAATCGGTTCACTGATACTTCTACTCCTACTCACTTCACTTTCATCCGTCATTATATTCACAGGGATTTGTAAAATTCATTTTGAATCAAAATATGCTCTGACAGAATTTTCATGAATACTTGCCGACGCCAATGGACTCAATGGATTTGGACTGATTTGTTCAGCTTCAGGATCTGAACCCGGTGTACCGGGAAGATTTAATACCGGAGAAATAGCTGGATTGACGCCTAACTGATTAGTACGATACTCAGTTAGACGACGCCAAAAACCAGTCTCAGTATAATGTGTCCCATGTACTTTATACTCTGGCATATTCATTATCCGATCGCGTAGAAAGCTGTCAGTTGCCTGCAGCTCAAATACATAGGCTGGCAGTAATCCTTTAGGAAGTTGTATAGGTATTGGTTGTGTGGGCAAAAGACCTGGTTCTTTAGTCACATCCACTGCATCTGTTTCAGGTGGTAAATATTTCTTTTTGAATATTTCATTGGCTGACTGTCCAAGATCTTGCTTTTTGTTCGATTTTGTTCCATCGTTATCACCGCCTTCATCTTCCTCTTCATTTTCTTCCTGCTCCTCTTCGTCTTCTTCTTCACCAACACCGCCACCAACTGAAAGAGAGGAAAAGGGAAAACCAAACAGAATTAATCCAAAGTGCACTAATGATTACGACTTGTGGCTACAACTCCAGGCACCTTTATCCTGCATTTAAAAAAATTATAAACAAGGAACATCGGAAGCCCTACGTGGTTAGAAAGATAGGTTAATCACTAGATTTAACCCTAACTCACTTCAGAGACTCAGGGATTGACTTGCTACCAGGGGATAATCACGCAGATGATATAGCCCTTCTAGGCGAGGATGCTGACAAAATGCAGACACGGTCTTCGGAACACCTTGACCTGCAATCTACGAATGTTTGACATGCGATTCGCTCGTTCTGTCAAATGTAAGATGATGTTACAAGACAGACTGGACTACACTGACTCCTAGTTTAGAAGTAGGGAGTGAAGTGGTAGAGCACGTTGACCGCTTCACTTATTTGGGAAGTAGCATCACCCAGTACCAACGGGTTGTTCTCTGACGAAATCTCAGTACGGATACAGAGGGCTAGTTTCGCATATTCCAGTTTACGCCATCTCTGGTGTAGACGTGATATCCGGCTGGCTGTCGGCCAGAGGGCGTACTGTACTACTTAGCAGTCCGCTTCGTCCTCCTTAATGCCTGACTGTGAGACTTGGCCATTGAGAGTGGAAGATATGAAAAACCTGGCCAGCTGTCTTTGATCATAGGTGCCTGTTTCCTATCTCCCGTGTGAAGTGGTATAATAAGGTGAGCAATATTGAGGTTAGGCGTCGGTCGAGTGTTAGGTAAGGAGGAGGGAAAATCAATCGACGAGGCTGTGAAATTAATCAACTAAGAGAGATGGTTAGGACATGTGTTACGTATGTCTAGTCATCACCTTCCTCGACTACGGACAATGTTAGCTGACATAGGGTTAGTCAGGCTGGAAAAGAGCTAGCGGTGGTCAAACCGAACCATGGCTTCACCACCCAATGAAATCCACAAAAGTAAGTTTAAGCCAACCAGTCACGTAGGAAGGTGTAGACTTCCTGA